TTTGTATATTTTATACAGTAATATAAAGTTAAAAATAAAGATAGAAAAAGTTTTAATTTGATCTTTTTGGCCTGTGTTATTAGTTTACTAAATTAGATATTGTCAAAATTCTTTGGTTTAAGTACATAACAAATCAAAACCAAAATGTGGCTGTGGGGTTCTTTTTTCAGTGTTCAGACCAAAAGTTTTTAGTTTCAAAGATATTCATCCCACTCCCATTAGTTGAACTAATGGTGCCACCTCCTGGCTTCTCTGTAGGTTCTCACAGTAACAGCAGTCTTCTCATTTAAGAAATTCCCTTTCAACCTCTGGCCATTTGTGTCTGCTTTTCCTTTAGTAAAAATAGCAAAGCCCCAGACTAACTAGTGATCATGTTATTTTAAGTGTGCACCAGGCTATTTTTAGTCCTGGCATTTGAAGTTTTAGCTGGTTGGCAGTAATCTAATCAGGACCACAGGGTAAGGCTTACTTTTGATAGTCTTAAGATTGTGTGTAGTGCAGCAGGTAAAGGCGCTGTCTGTGGTGCCAGCATCCCATAGAGGCTCCGGTTTGTGCCCCAAACCATGTCCCAGCTGCTCTACTTCGAGTCCAGCTCCCTCCCTAGGAAAAGCAACAGAGGATGATCCAAGTGTTTCAGCCCCTGCTACCCACATTAGAGAGACCCAGAAGAAGCTCCTGGCTTTGGCTTGGCCTAGCCCTTGCCATTGTGCCCACATGGATGGCAAGTAGCAGGTAAAACTGCCATCTGCAACACTGTCACCCATGTAGGCAATGGTTTTGTGTCCTGGCTCCTCCGCTTCTGATCCAGTCTCTGTTAATGGCCTGGGGAAAGTGGCAGAAGATGGCCCAAGTGCTTGGGCCCCTGCTACCTACTGTGGGACACCAAGAAGAAGCTTCTGGCTTCTGGCTTCAGCCTGACCCAGCCCTGGATGTTGGGACCATTTGGGCAGTGTACCGACGAGTAGAAGATCTCTCTCTCTCTTTCTGTTTCTTCTTCTCTCTCTGTAACTCATACTTTTAAATAAATAAATAGTTTTTAAAAAAGAATATATTAGAAGTTTGTTATGGTCTCTGACACAGATACATTAATTTAGTACAAATACAGAGATGAGTTCTTTGGGGAAAAATAAATTCAACTAGTTTGAGATCAGAGAGCCCTTTTAAGCCAGTTGTTTTGGTGTCATGTGGCTCCTGCATGAAAAGAGGAAGTTCTTTTGTTGGCCAGCTCACTCATTCAACAAACATTTATTAAGTGTGGATGTGAGAAGTAGTTGCTGGTGGTATTGAGATAATGACATTGTCTTTATAAAGTGTATGTTCTCTAGAGGACATCAGATATGTAAGACAAATCAAATGGAGATACAAGTACTTTAATAGAAATATGTGTGGGAAGATTAGCCTAGTACGATCTAACATGGGAAGCAGGATAAACATCAGACTCATAGAATGGCAGATGTCCTAAACAGCACTCTGGCCTCAGAATCAGCCCTTAAGGCATTCGGATCTGGCTGAAGAGCCCATGAGAGTATTTTAGGCATGGAAAGCCAAGACACTCTGGCCCAGGTACTCGCCAAAAAAAAAAAAAAACACTAAATGAAAGATCTCTGCAAGTGAGATCCCAGTGGAAAGAACGGGCCATCAAAGAAGGAGGTGCCTTTCTCTGAAGGGAGGAGAGAACTTCCACTTTGACTATGACCTTGTCTAAATGAGATCAGAGTTGGTGAACTCAAAAGGCTTCCATAGCCTTGGCAACCCATGACAGAGCCTAGGGTGATTACTGATGCCATAAACAAGAATGTCAATTGTTAAGTCAACAACAGGAGGCACTGTGCACTTACTCCCCATGTAGGGTCTCTGTCCTTAATGTGTTGTACAATGTAAATTAATGCTATAACTAGTACTCAAACAGTACTTTACACTTTGTGTTTCTGTGTGGGTGCAAATTTTTGAAATCTTAATATATACTAAATTGCTCTTCTGTATATAAAGATAATTGAAAATGAATCTTGATGTGAATGGAATGGGAGAGGGAGTGGGAGATGGGAGGGTTGTGGGTGGGAGGGAAGTTATGGGGAGGAAAAGCCATTGTAATCCAAAGCTGTACTTTGGAAATTTATATTTATTAAATGAAAGATAAAAAAAGAAATATATGTGGGACCCTGTTTGTGGGTAAACAGAGAAGGTAGGAAATTGTGTGGGAAGTGATCTGAATCCCCCAGGAATATTGTGAGCATAAGCCTTCCTTTTTTTTTTTTTTTTTTTTTGACAGAGTGGACAGAGAGAGACAGAGAGAAAAGTCTTCCTTTTGCCATTGGTTCACCCTCCAATGGCCGCCGCGGCCAGTGCACCGCGCTGATCCGAAGCCAGGAGCCAGGTGCTTCTCCTGGTCTCCCATGGGGTGCAGGGCCGAAGCACTTGGGCCATCCTCCACTGCATTCCCGGGCCACAGCAGAGAGCTGGCCTGGAAGAGGAGTGACCAGGACAGAATCCGGCGCCCGGACCGGGACTAGCTAGGCAGAGGATTAGCCTATTGAGCCACAGTGCCGGCCTAGCATAAGCCTTCTATGCATAGGGACCAGGATAAATAAAGGCACAGATGCATAAAGCATTCTCAGGTAGTTAAAGAACTAGTTATATGAGGCTGGAGTGACAACTGGACTCCGTGCTTGAGTAGTAAAAGGGAGGCAGATAGTGTAGAGCCTCCTTTGTTAAACCAACTTTCTCCTGGTAAGATTTATTTTTCATTTAATCATTTTCGCAAGAAGCATTGAGGTGAAGTGGAAATAAATGAGCCTAGAAGCAGAAGTTCCAGATGAGAATCTTGCACAAGTCCTGATGAACAAAGTTGAAAAAATAGGGTCTGACCTGATAAATTATTTTTTAAAAAGATTTATTTATTTACTTGAAAGTCAGAGTTACACACAGAAGGAAAGGCAGAGAGAGAGAGAGAGAGAGAGAGAGAGAGAGGGAGAGAGAGGGAGAGAGAGAGGGAGGGAGGTTGGTTTTCCATCTGCTAGTTCACTCCCCAGTTGGCCGCAACGGCCGGAGCTGTGCCGAATCGAAGCCAGGAGCCAGGAGCCAGGAGCTTCTTCTGGGTCTCCCACGCAGGTACAGAAGCCAAGGACTTGAGGCATCTTCCATGCTTTCCCAGGCCATAGCAGAGAGCTGGATCAGAAGTGGAGCAGCCAAGACACGAACCAGCACCCATATGGGATGCCGGCGCTGCCTGCGGTGGCTTTACCCACTACGCCACCGTGCTGGCTCCCAATATATCATTAAATCTGGTGCACAGAGCACCTGAGGAATTTATAAATAATGTAAATGCAGGTCATTCTTTGCAATCTGATTTGGGAGTTCTGGAGTTTGAGAACTAATATAAACCAAATTTTTTTTTATTGTTATAATTTACAATTTAGTCATTGACTAGGCCCTGATACAGAGTGGTGAGATAAAAAGATTGTTAGATCATGACTCTCAGGTCTCTAGTTTTGTAAAGTTCCAGAAATGAAGACTTCTCTGTAATGTCAGGAAAAAAATATATGCCATGGCTTTAGATCTATATGTGAAGGTTGAGGAGGCGAAGGGTAGGTGAAACTAGGTGGTTGGGTGGGCTGATCACCTCTTTGGAAAGTTACCCAGATGTTGGTGGGGAGAGGATGACTGCAGTAATTTCCAAAATGTGTAACATGTGAGTAAGCAGTGTCTGTAAAGACAAGGAGGACTAGAGAGTACTGTAGCCAATGCTTCTGAAACCTTAATGTGTTTGTGAGTTGCTGGGGATCTTGACAAAATGCAGATTTCATTTGGTAGGTTTAGAAATGGACCTGTGTTTGTAGATTTCGAACAATCTTGTAGGTAATCCTATTTTTTCTTGTCCACGGACCGACTCTGAATAGCAAAATATAGGTCCCTCTTCTCAAACTTTGTCCTTTCATTGTTGTCTGATATTTGGGTTCCTCACTCAAAAATTCTTACCTAGTTGGTGTGAAGTATGGCCTAGATACCAGGATTTTAAAGTCTCTGGTACCTCTATGATAGCACAGAATTTCAGAACCATTAATGTAGGCCGTTCAGGCCAAAGGGTAAGATGAGGTGTTTCATAGTAGGAAATGGAAAATGGATAAGGCTGGCTCCATTCTGGATCTCCTGGTACAAGATGTGGAGAGAAAGGTGCCTGGAATACTGTATCTGGGAAGAACCTGGGTTCAGCTCTAACAAAATGTAGGAGAATGCCTGGGAGGGGTGAATAGGAGAACATGAGGGACTTTGGCCTGAGTGGTGGCTGAGGAGGACGAGGGTGAGAAGCGCAACTAAGCGACTTCTGTAGGTGTACAAGGCTGAGTTCAGAGGCCCTAGCATGACTACTGGTAAGTCTTTGTCAGATTTCCCATGGGAATGTTCTCAAGTAGGTCTCCTTACATTTCAAGAGAGATTGGCCTCAGCATGTCCAAGAAGGGCTGAGCCAGCTATCTTCTCCCCCCCCCCCTTTTTTTTTTTTTTGACAGGCAGATGGACAGTGTGAGAGAGGGACAGAGAGAAAGGTCTTCCTTTACCATTGGTTCACCCTCCAATGGCCGCTGTGGCCGGCACCCTGCAGCCGGCGCACCGCGCTAATCCAAAGGCAGGAGCCAGGTGCTTCTCCTGGTCTCCCATGTGGGTGCAGGGCCCAAGCACTTGGGCCATCCTCCACTGCACTCCCGGGCCACAGCAGAGAGCTGGCCTGGAAGAGGAGCAACCGGGATAGAATCCAGCACCCCGACCAGGACTAGAACCCGGTGTTCCGGTGCCGCAGGTGGAGGATTAGCCTATTGAGACATGGCGCCAGCCATTCTCCCCTCTTTTTAAAAAATCGGCTCTGTATTTGTTTTCTGAGGCTTGACCTAATGGGGGAACTAGAATGTTCTGGACATCAAGAGCTCTGTCCCCCACAGGTACTGGTTTTAATAACTGTCATATACCTGCTTGTGTGTGAAGCAATGTATTGTTGTATTTTTCTCCAGATATTATAACAAAAACAAACAGGAAGACATAACAACTGTGACTGAATTTTTACTACTTTGAAGATATGGATGTGAAGTCAAAGTCTGTAAAGCAAAGTGTCTGCCTGAAATTATATGAAATTAAAATTCAGAAGTCTCCAACTATTTGTGATATATCTGTGATGAATTTCTATTGATGTTCTTGTCATGTGCTTTTAAACAGTTAAGATTAATGAAATAATCTTTGATATGCTTCTTAAGTATATGTATTTGTATTATTTAATAAGAACTGAAGAGTCGTTACTAGAAGACTATATACTAAAATAGATGGTTTTGCTATTTATAAAGAGCCAACACTAGGTAATGGTGTAATTTCCTTTGATTTGCCTTTCTTCCTCAAAGTTTATCCTTTGTATGGATTAGTTGTTGAAGTGCTAAAAATGAACATGCTTATATTACAAGCTATTTTTAACAGAACTTAATTGAAACCACATGAGTGAGAGACCTAATTCCAGGTCTGACTGAAAGAAACTCTATACTCAAGATTTGCTGAAGCAGGGAATGTGTAATACATACAATCAATCATACACCAGGTATTTAATACGTTATCTCATACCAAAACAACCTTTATTTTTGCTAACAGTATCTGTAAGGTTTTTTTTTTTAATATAACCTGTGGCAACCTGACAGTACTCTTCCTAAAAAGCAGCTGTCCTATGTCAGTGAACAGAAGGTTGTTATACAACTGGTGGTGAAATCTTAAGTCTGATAGTTTTACTATTATTATACATAAAAGTAAAAAAGACACAGGCTTTCAAAGCAGCTTAACTGTTAAGGAAAATTATAAAATCTATAAACTGAGGTTATGTTACTTAAAGAACATTCATTTTAAATAGGAACCATAACGAGATATTTTTTATAGATATTTTGACAAGGCCTTAAGCCGCTAACAGTGCTTTTTGTGAGTTTGCGATTTTTATCTGGAGCTGAAATATGAAATCATGCTGAGGAAATATAGAGGATAACCTGAATGATGGCGGCTAGACCAAAATTTAGATGTGAATTCTAAATCAGTACTCAACTATGTCAGCAACTCTTGTGGTAGTTTTAAAAGTAGAAACGTGATAAGCTGCAGGGGAATGAGAAATGAAACACAAGTCCTTTTCCTTGCCTTCAAGGAGTTTATAATCCAAGAGGGAGGGGAGAAAATGAGAACAAATTATTTGACAATTCTTAATCAGGTGGTAGGTTCCTGTGAGAAAGAATGGTACTTGGTTTTTGGAGTGGACCTGGTAGGGTTAGAGGAGATAAACATTTTATAGTTTCGTATTTCAGAAAAGGAAAATATAGCAAGCTCAGAGAGCTACATACTTGACCAGGTAATATAATAGCATGTGATGGAGCCATCATCTGAATGCAGGACTATTTGAGTCTAATATTTTTCATTTATAAACAAGAACTCAGGAAAAGGTCAGAGGGAGGAAGGAGTAGAGGTTGACCTTCAAATCTTAGTAGTAGAAGACATAGTTTTGATGGTGATTACAAGGAAGAAAAGTAGAAGTAGCCTGCTGGTTGGTGAACATGAGAAGGCCTAAGAGAATTCCTATTGGCAAATCCTAGGAGAAGGTTGTGCTGACTTTTATCTGTGGGCAGACCTCAGAGGTCTTTCAGTCTTTTTCAGAGAGTATGAACAGAAAATGAGTTCATCTTTTTCTGAAAAGAGAGGGTCTCTCTATTTCTTTTTTTATCACATTTTCAAAGTGGTCTGTGACCTCAGAAAAGTAAACTGTGGAACTGGACTCCTCTACTTTAGTATCTAATTACTTATTCTTCATTTTTTGAATTAAAAATTTTAAACAACTTTTTATTGAAGAGAAAGAAGGAGGAGAGGGATGACAGGAGGGAGGGAGAGAGGTAGAGAGGGAGAGATCTCCCATGCACTGGGTCATTACCCAAATGCCCACAACAGACAGGGATGAGCCAGCCTAAAGCCAGGAACCAGAGACTCAGTCCAGGTCTCCCATCATGGAAGGCAGGGGGTTAACCATTTGCCCCATCACCTGCTGCCCCTCAGAGTCTACATTAGCAAAATCTAGAATTGTGAGCAGAGCCAGGACTCAAACCTAAGTATTGTGATATAGGATATGAGCATCCCAAGTAGTGTCTTAACTGCTATACCAAATACCAATATACTCACTCTTGTTTTTTATTTTATTTTTATTTTTATTTTTTTCAGGAAGGCAGGATGAGTCCTGTATGTATGTGGAGCCCTTTCATTTGCTGGTTGACTACCCAAATGCACAATGGCTGGGTCTGGGCTAGGGATGGGGCTAGGCTAGGGATGGAACTGGGACCTCAATCCAGATCTCCCATGTGGGTAGCAAGAGTTCAATTACTTGAGCCATCACTAGGGCCCCCCTGCCCCCACCCAAGGTCCAAATTGGCAGAAAGTTGGAGTCAGGAGCCAAAGCTGTACTGAACCCTGCATTCCAATATGGGATGCAGGTGTCTTAACCACTGGGCTAAATGTCTACTCCCTATACTTCATATTTGAGTGTAGTTATATTTTCAAATTACACCTAAAAAAACTTTGCAGGTCATAAGTACTGAAACAGCCAGTTAAAAATGCATAAAAGGCCTGATGTCGTTTCCATTTTAACATTTTTAACTGGAGCGCTTTTCCCCAATACTCCCAGGTGCAGTTCAACATGGTTTGTTCAGTTATGCATAGCCTCATTATCTCATATTGTGCACACGCATACGTGTTTATTTAAACAATATAAAGAATATGATGCCCAGACTTTCCAGATAGTTATCTTCAACCTCTCCTGCTTGACTTTCAGTTTCTAACCTGCAATTAAAAATGTTTAATCATCTTATATCTTAAATTCTCCCTTGACTCCATATGTTCTTCTTGCCAGCCTATTATTCTTCACCCATTTACATGTATTTTTACTAAAAAGAATGCTCTCTGCTTTCTCACTGGACCCCTCCACTGTTCCCTACCCCCTTCAAAACACAAACACGCACAAAGTCTGTCTTCAGCTTTGCTTCTCTGCTGATACTGATCCCCTCCAGGCTACCAGAAACATCCTTGATGCTAATCTAAGGAATATTTTTCAATTTTTATCCCACCAAACTTCTCCCAGTTAATGATATTTTGGACTAGTACAATACTATCTTTCTGAAGGCCTCCAGTAAGGAATGAGCTCTCTAAAACTTTACTGTATGGGCTTTTGTTGCATCTCTGGTCCTCCCATTTCTTCTAGAGGCTGCTTTTCCTCTGGCTAGTCTTTAAGTTTTGGTATTTCCTAAGGATCTGTTCTGGGGCCTCTTCTCATACAACACACCTCATCTATCCATGACTTTAGTTACCATTTCTGTGCAGTTGGCCTCAAATTTTTGTAATTGTCATGGATATTGGTAGTGAACTTGTGTCATGAATTCCCTTGTATACATCCATTACCCTCTAACTCCATCCTAAGTAGATTTTAAATTTCCAAGTCTGTCGCTCCCCCTCTTAGTGGAGGAACGACACTAAACCCTGCCTAGGCTTCATATCCGAGTCACGGCACCATTATGTCACTCCCCTTCTTCATGGAGGAACGACACAGGACCCTGCGCTGTTCTTTTGTCTGCTCGGCCCTCCCCGGGTTTGCTGCTGGTTCTTCCTGGGTTGGCTACCGTCCCTTCCACCTCCGTGGAAGGGCGGTGCCCCCTGCCACTTTCCCCACTTCCGCAGGGGAGCGGCACACCGCCGGCCGGCTCTCTCGGGGGCTGCACAGGTGTTCCCTCAGATGTTCCTGGTGCATGTTGTCTCTCTCCTCCTTTATAGTCCTCTTCCACCAATCCCAACTCTGCTACCCACACGCCGAGTACGCTGCTCTCCTCCAATCAGGAGCAGGTCCTGCTGTTTATTGGTTGAACTGGAGGCAGCTGTGTAGAAGCTGTTTCCTCCTCTCCCAGTGCCATATTGTGGGAGAGCAGATGCATAGAATAAGTCTTAATTCCAGTAACTTAGTCTAGTCCGAGTTGCTCCCAGTTGCTCCCCACACAAGTCATATGATCAAACCCTGAGTACCAGAGGTGGGCCTTTAAATGGCTTCAGTCTGTTAACCTTAGGCATCCCAATTCTGGCCAGAGTCATTAATTAGTTCAGGAATGGGTCCCAAACTTAAAATGATCCTATCATGTTACATATTAGAGCTTTTTCTTGGAATATTGAGACACAGACTTTTTCCTTTTTCTGTTGGATTTTTCCCTGAAAGAATTTATTGTAGTGGCTGGCACTGTGGCTCACTCAGTTAAACCCATGCTTATGATGCCAGCATCCCTTATAACTGCCAGTTTGAGTCCCAGATGCTTCACTTCTGATCCAGCTACCAATACATCTGGGGAAGCAGTGGACAATAGCCCAAATATTTGGGCCCCTGCCACCCACCCGGGAGGCCCAGATGGAGTTCTAGGCTCTTGGCTTCCACCTGCCTAAGCTCTAGCCATTGCAGCCATTTCTCTCTTGCTCTTCCTCTTGCTCTTGCTCTGCCTTTCAAGTAAATTAATAAACCTTTTTTAAAAGTGACAAATGGTAGACGTTTCAGAAGTCAAATTACATCCACAATTGGAGACCTTGCTGTGGGATGGAGACCACACAGAGAAATTAGAGATGGAATAAAGAAATTGACTTTTTGATATCTTTGTTGTAGTCCCTGAATAAAGCTGTGTCTACACTGTTCACCTGCTTTAGATCTGGTTATCAGAGCTAATCAGTTTCATGCTCTGCTTATGTTAGTTTACTTTTGGTTTTGTCGTGTAAAACATAGACCATTCTGACTGATGGACTCAACAAAGACCTTTCTTAAATTGCCCATGTCATAGCATTTAGCAGTGTTCTGTAGCTGCTGATTCTATTTGAGGAGACTGTAAGCTCCTCAAATGCAGGAACTATGTTGTTCCTTATCATATTTACGGGTTCTAGCATAGCTGCCAGACACATACTAAGCATAAATGCTTGAAAGGTGTTTATTGAAAGACTTGTCACAGAAATGTGTGTTCTATTAAGGACCTTCTTTTGTGTACTTCTAATAGAATTCAAGGCAAAGATTTCAAGTCAGTTTATTTTATATGTAAGTTAAAAATTTAATTCCCTAAAATACTTTATCACATTCTGCAATAACTTTTTTGTTACTTGTTGGCTTCTTAAGGACAAGGGCTATTCCTGTCTTGTTATTGTATTCTTCCCATCTGGAACACAGAAGATGCCAAAGCTCACATCTCTATTAGATTGTTGCTATCAGCATACAAAATTTGCTAGTATGTCCCATCTTAAAGAAATTGTTTTCCTTTCTCCCTTCTCAGCTCAGCAAAACAGAGAAGCTGTCTACACTTGAGTTACCATTTTGTTTCTGCTCTTTCTTGAACCCACTCTAGTTAGGTTTTTGTTCATATTATTCCATTGAAATTGCTCTTGCCAAGATTTCCAAGTTAACAAATCTAATAAACACTCAAATTTTCAACAACAGTCAATCCCCATTACTCCTTTTGGGAACATTTTCTTGTCTTACTGATCTTCCATCTTATTCTTTGTATTGAGTCCTTTTCTTTGAGAGCTTCAGGTTTTAGTTCTTCACCCTCTTCTGTATAGCTACCCTGTCTCCAAGTAAAGTTATCCATTCTGTTGTTTTAAATTCTATGAGTTGGACGCATCCCAAATTTCTTTCATTAGAGAAAGAATGTATATGGATTCTCTAAATATCCACATGGGTGTCTGATGGGTAAATCAAACTTAATGTGTTCAAAAAATTTTAAGTATTTATCTGAGAGAGAGAGAGAGAGAGAGAGAGAGAGAAAGAAAGAAAGAAAGAAAGGAAAGGAAAGGAAAGGAAAGGAAAGAAAGAAAGAAAGAAAGAAAGAAAGAAAGAAAGAAAGAAAGAAAGAAAGAAAGAAAGAATAAGAATCTTTTATCTGCTGGGTAACTCCCCAGATGGCTGGGACAGCCAGGTCTGGGCCAGGCTGAATCCAGGAGCCAGGAGCCTAGAGACAGGAGCTTATTCTGAGTCTCCCACCTGGTTGGTAGGGGTCCAAATACTTGGGCCATCTTCCGCTCATTAGCAAGGAGCTGGATCAGGAGTGGAGCACCTGGACTCGAACCAGTGTCCATATGGGATGCCAGCACTGCAGGAGGTGGCTTTACCCACTAAGCCACAATGCTAGCCCCGATATATTAAAATGTAATGTATTTGACTTTCTCCTTCAAACCTGTGCTTTCCTTAGTCTTATTTATTTATTTATTTATTTAGATTTATTTATTTATTTCAAAGGCAAAGTTACAGAAAGAGCGAAAGACAAAGATATTACATCCATTGCTTCACTCCCTGAATGGCCATAGCAGTCACGGCTGGGCCAAGTGAAGTCAGGAGCCTGGAACTCCATTTGGGTCTCCCACGTGGATGGCAGGGGCCTAAGTACTTAGGCCATCTGCTGCTTTCCCAGGTGCGTGGATCTGGATCAGAAATGGAGTAGCTGGTACTAGAACTGGAGCCAATGCCACAATGCCAGCCCCTCCCCTAGTCTTTTAATCAGCAAATGACTTCTAGTTTGCTGCTCAATGCAAAAAAACCTAGGAGTCATCCTTGATTTTTTTTTTTCTTTCCCTGACTTAGAGGTTCTGTCGGTTGTATCTCCAAAATTAACTCCAGTTAGCTGGTGTCAACTCTCCTCTGAAATACTAGTAATTACTTACTTGGTTTCTTACCTTTCATTATTACTTTTCTATATTCCTTTCTTCATAAAACAGCCCAGATATAATTGTAAATTGAATCATGCCCTTTCCTGTTTTAAGCACCTCAGTGACTCCCATCACACTTAATCTAATTGACATTGTCCAGCCCCTTGTTTCTTTCTGTTTCTCAAAACATCTTCCTGTCCCAGAATACTCTCCAGTTCCTCTAACTTCTTTTCTCTTCTTTGAACTGACCTAACCTTTTCCTGCCGCAAAGCTTTATACTTTTTCTTCTCTCTGCCACAATGTTCTTCACTAACTTCTTTCTGTGGCTGGTTCCTTTCCATTCCTTAGACTTCAGTTTAAATACCTTATCTTTGGAAATGCCTTCTGTGGCCTAAATTTGGCCACCTTCACATCCTTACAATCAACTAATTCTTTCCTAGCTCCTATCACAACTTATATTTTGTTTATTTAGTTTCTTCTTATTCAAATTAACTTCCCGAAAATACGGACAGTTGTTCAAGACCATATCTCCGGTGCCTAGAACAGACTGTGAGAACTTAGAGGGACTCGAAACATTTTTAATTTATTTTTTATTATTTTATTATTTTTATTTTTTGACAGGCAGAGTTAGGGAGAGAGACAGAGAGAAAGGTCTTCCTTCTGTGGGTTCACCCCCAAAATGGCCGCTATGGGCTGGTGCACTGTGCTGATCCGAAGCCAGGAGCCAGGTGCTTCCTCCTGGTCTCCCATGCGGGTGCAGGGCCCAAGCACTTGGGCCATCCACCACTGCACTCCCTGGCCACAGCAGAGAGCTGGACTGGAAGTGGAGCAACTGGGACAGAACCAGCTCCCCAACCAGGACTAGAACCTCGTGTGCCGGCACCGCAGGCAGAGGATTAGCCTAGTGAGCTGCAGCGCCAGCCTCAAAACATTTTTTAAATAAATAAATGTTTATATATTTTGGTGCTCCAAACTACTCCCATTTCCTTATTAGTCAGCCATAAATAGTCGGTTTAAGAGTTTTAAAAACGGAGTGACCCTGAGTCCATCTAAGTGTTGTTATTCAGGCAGTTTTACTTGATTATCTGGAGTTTGAATGCCTTGTTCTGAGATGTTATCAATGAATTTTTTTTCAGGATAGTTTAGTGCAGTTAAGGCCTTATTATTAACATGATGATTAAAGGGGGCAAGATGCCAGTTTTATTGCTACCTTTTCCTATATCTACTGACTAGAAAACAGCTCTAGTAACAAGTGCCTATGTCTTTTATGTTACCTGGAGCGTAATCTTGGAAGCAGGTGTTCAGAGCCCCATACACTGCTGGGGTTTGTAGGAGATTCCATCTTCTACTTCTGAGTAACAACATGGGCCTTATATATAATCTCTGTCACCCCAAAGTTACACATTCATATAGCATTAGTGAGTAGATAATTTTCTTTCTCACATGCCTTCATTTTTGACTTCCTAAACAAACTCAAAGAAGCTGTTTGTAAGACACTTCACCGTCTTTGTCAAGAGGTGCCAAATAAGTGGAAGAAGAAAAACATACTGATTTTGCACTTGAGGATATTAAATTTTTATTTATTCAAGAAGGATAAAGACAAATAGAGAGCTTCCATCTACTGGTTCACTCCCCAAATGCCCATAATGGACTCAGGAGCCAGAACTCAATCCAGGACTCCCCCTGGGTGACAGAGACCCAGCTATGTGATCTATAGCTGTTGCCCCCAAGGGTGCTCATTAGCAGGAAGCTAGAATTAGGAGCAGAGTCAGGACTGGAATCTAGGCACTCTGATATGGGATATGGGTGTCTCAACTGGGGTCTTAACCATAGGCCAGATGTCTGCCCATTGGAAATACTTAAAATTAAGCACAGTTGTGTCATTACAACATATCAATTCAGTGCTGAGTCTATGATTTTAATATTATGTTGCTATATAGAGAAATGGTAACTAGTAAATTTAGTTTTCTCTGTACTTCTCAAGTATAAATGAGTTTACATAAATGAAGCTATTACATGCTTAGTGAATACTAAAATAAAATATCGTATGCAAGCAGTAACGTTCTTTCCCTTACTATTAATATCTATAATTACCCATGAAGTAATTTTTTCCCAAGATGAAAGCACCCAAGGTTATTTTATTTGGAAACTTTCTTCTGAGGGCTCTAGAACTATTGTGCACCAGCTACAGACCAGCATTAGTCCATGTGTCCTTGGTCCCATAGAGACAGGCGTGAGCTGTTTCCACTCATTCATTTAATGTAAATTGCTAGCATAAAAATAAGACCTCCCCAAATGAGTGATTCATTAACTGGTAGGATGTATATTTTTTTCTTTTAAAAAACTGCATCTACTTTTTGTTTATCACACCTTCATTTCAAATCCAAATATTTTGTGAGGAAAATATTCACATTTATAAATAGCTCATTTTACTCTATTAGAAATCTTTAGGCATTTGGGGCCAGAACCCAGAGAATTACTTGAAACTATAGGTGACACGTCCTGCTACTTTGAGCCTCAAGTAGCCAGTAACTTCTGGAGCTTATGCAGTGTACACAGAGTGGGAGAGGGAGAGGAGGAAGAGGGGAAGGTGAAGGGACAGGAGGAAGGGCAAAGGGAGAGAGTGGGAGGAGGAGGGGGAGACACACACACACACACACACACACACACACACACAGGGAGAGAGAGGTCTTCAGTCCACTGGTTCACTCCCCAGATGACTGCAAGGGCCAGAGCTCTTTCAATCTGGAGCCAGGAGCCAGGAGCTTCCTCCAGGTCTCCCACACGGGTGCGGGAGCCCAAGGACTTAGGACATCTTTCACTGCTTTCCCAGGCCATAGCAGAGCTGGATCGGGCAGGACTTGGACTGGCACCCACATGAGATGCCAGCACTGTAGGCGGAGACTGTACCTGCTACACCACAGCACCGGCCCCTCCGAATGAATTTTTACCCAAGTACCTTGTGTTACCTCCTCAAAAAGACCTTTCTCACACTGTCATTTCATTGCCTTTTCATAACTTTCTGAAATTTTTACTCTTTCCTCACCTAGACTGTTATGTTTTTTGACTGCTTTGGATCCCCAGTGCCTAGAACTTAAATGTTTGGAATGAATACATGTATTTCTTAATCATCTATAAATAGTTATTATAAAAATATCAGAACTTAACATAATGACCACTGCCAAATTCTAAATTCTGCCTGTTTTTCTTTTTTCTGTTAGTACCATTTATTTGTAGTTTAAATTCTAGCTGCAAATTGTCTTAGTTGGAGTTGGTAGCCACTCTGAAAACGTTTTAATGCCTAATTAAAAGAAATTTTCAAATAAGCATTTTTTTTTTTGACAGGCAGAGTGGATAGAGAGAGAGAAAGGTCTTCCTTTACCGTTGGTTCACCCTCCAGTGGCCGCCACGGCTGGTGCGCTGCGGCCGGCGCACCGCGCTAATCCAAAGGCAGGAGCCAGGTGCTTCTCCTGGTCTCCCATGGGGTGCAGGGCCCAAGCACTTGGGCCATCCTCCACTGCCTTCCCGGGCCACAGCAGAGAGCTGGCCTGGAAGAGGGGCAACCGGAACAGAATCCGGCGACTAGAACCGGGTGTGCCGACGCCCCTAGATGGAGGATTAGCTTAGTGAGCCGGGCGCCGGCTGCATTTTTTTAAATATAGTCTTCCAGCCGTATAGCAGTCATTTCCTGACGTCCACGTTTCTGAGAATTGCAGCCTACTGTACAAAATTCCTCATCCTGGAGTGGAGTGGGGGGATGCATGGGGATGCTGAGAATTTACAATACTGGTTTGATCCAAACCCTGATGTATTTTGATTCCATGGGTTTGTATGACTGTTAATTTATGAGTTGGGGTTGGTGCTGTGGCGTCGCGGGTAAAGCCGCCCCCTGCAGTGCTGGCATTCCCCTATGGGCCCTGGTTCGAGTCCCGGCTGCTCCACCTCCTATCCAGCTCTCTGCTAGGCCCTGGGAAAGCAGTAGAAGATGGCCCAGGTCCTTGGGTCCCTACACCCGCATGGGAGACCTGAAGAAACTCCTGGCTCCTGGCTTCGGATCAGTGCAGCTCTGGCCGTTGTGGCCAATTGGGGAGTGAACCAGCGGATGGAAGACCTCTCTCTCTCCCCTCTCTTTCTCTCTGCCTCTCCTTCTCTCTCTGTGTAACTGCTTCTAACTAAATAAATAAATCTTTAAAAAAATTATGAGTATTTTTTTTAGAAAGCACCCCCCCATCCTTTGGTTAAAATTCCGGTTTCTTCCTTCCCCATCCCTATGCATTGATAGGATTTATTAACATTGTAAACACTGAGCATAAAGGGTCAGGTATTTGTGGGTGTGTGTCCCCTTTCTAGGCTTCCAGTCTTTCTCAGTTTCACTTCAGATTTTATCGGTTACCAAGGAAGCTGGGCTGAACTCCCTACCGCAGTCGCCAGCTCTAATGCCAGGTGTCAGGGTTGCAGGCGCTGGCGGAAACTCCCGGTGCCCTGCCTAGGTCGTCTCGGGAGGACGTCTAGGCAGGTGGACCCCGTGAGCCGGCCTCCGCGCCGTCCCGTCTCGCGGCCGGGGGTTCTCAATGCTGCCACGGTCGCGGCCCCAAAGGTATTAGCGTGCCTGCTCTGCTGCCGGAGCAGCCGGCTCGGCCAGGCGCGAGTTGGAGGGGAGAATCGGCTCAAGTCGGGGGGAGTCAGCGGGTGAGCCCGCTGCCTGTGGTACCCCAAACATCTCTATCGTGGAAGTGAGGCGCGGAAGGCTTCTGCATCCCACAGTCCCTGGTGTCGTCACCGCGCCACCTGCCATAGCCTCAGACAGCCACTGACAGCCTCCCATGCAAGCACAGGGACCTGATCACGTCCCTTCCACCCCGGCCATCTTCTCCGCGCACGCCCCGCCCCGCGAGCTGCCACGTGACAGGACCAGACGCCAGCCTATGGGAGCCAGCGCCGCCCCGCACCCCCTCCTGCCCCCTGCTCCGCATGCCGCCACGTGATGCGGCTCCCCGCCAGCCAATAAGCGCGGGGTTTGCCTCGCGCCCCGCCCCGCGCGCCGTGGCCGTTTGAAGTGACTAATTTCTGTCATATGACTGAGGCGCCCATGGGGGTGGCGAGGCGGCTCTAGGAGCGGGGGCCTAGCGAGCGCCCAGCGGAGCGACCCCGGCCTGGCCGTGGCCAGCATGGCCCCTACGTTGTTCCAGAAGCTCTTCAGCAAGAGGAGCGGGCTGGGCGCGCCGGGCCGAGACGCCCGGGACCCGGATTGCGCGTTCAGGTAGGGTGCTGCGGGAAGGGGGGCTCGAAACCGATGGCCTTTTGGGCTCTGGGTTCCAGAGATGGTGGGGCCGTGGGCGTTGAGGCCCGCGCGGCCGGGACCGGGACCCGGTTCGCGGTGGGGTGGGGCCGGTGCGGACTCGGGCTGGAGGCTTGGAGCGAAGTCTTCTCTCCCCACCACCGCCCCGCCGTTGCCCCTTCCCCCTCCTCGGGCTGGTTTGTTTACGTCCCGTCCGCGGCCACGCGTGGCTCTGCCCCTCCGGACGTGGCCCCGCGGCCTGAGGCACGGGGTCCACACGCCTCCTGGCAGCGGGCAGGGCGCGGGCTGCTTTGGACCTGAGCCGCGGTCCTCCCGGCCCAGAACTTCTCCCCTCCTCCCCGTGACCAGTCGCCCTCTGGGCGCTCCATTCCAGCTCTGTTGGCGTCGGGGAGAGGGCAGCACGTTTGGCCAAGCTCCTGGGTGTGCAGAGGGCTGCAGGAGCGACTAGGCTAGGGGCCGTTCTTTGAGGCTTCTTGGAGACTGAAATTGGAGGCTTGCGGATACCGGACCTTGCGGCTTTCATGTTATCGCAAGAGAAATGGGAAACCCGAGAGGTTAGCCTGACTGCCCACCCAGCTGATGCGGGACCGAATCCCGTGAGGTCTGGCGTTAGGATGGGCCCTAGAATCTTCCCCCTTAGAGCTGTTACTGCACAGGAGGCCACAAGTTGAAGACTGTGGCAGAAGGTTTTGTGGCATTACAAGCTTTGTTAATTTTTGGTTGCAGTACTTGTTGCTGGTTGAATAACTTTTTAGAATTGTAAGATTTGATGTAAAGCTGGATTCAGGGTCACAATTACTCGTGAAACTTCATATGAAGAGATGTTGTGTCTTCGACACAGCTTTCCTATCTGTTGTAGCCTGGAAACTTGCAAATGTAACCTGGCTACATGTCGAATATCCCTCAAACTTATTACATAGCAGAGAGCCTGGCTGTACAATAGCTGTAGGAAAAAATGAGAATCTCGAATCTTCCAGCAGGCCGAAGTGAGAAGGATTGCGGCACACTAGTTTTAGAAGTTTTGAATCTAAAGTTATTCAGCCTTTCTTGCTAATGCGGGTCACATCAGAAAACGCTCTGTAAATACATGTGGAATTGAAATAGGAAATGGAAAGAAGTTAACTGGTAGAGGAAAAAAAGGCAGTTTTCTAGGTATCGGTCTTTTCCACTGTGAGGGAGATGTCTTACCATGCTCATCTGACTTTTTCTAGACATTACTTTAGTATTTTTCCTTTGAAAAATGAAAGTACAGTCTGTGTCAATACTACACGGACACACGTAGTAACTCAGGAGATAGTAGGAAGCAGGTTCTGGAAAGATATTTCAAAGGTGACATTTGAACAGACAGCACCTTTCTATTTCTGAGCAAAGGCTGACTTTGGGCACCCAAGTTTACAGTGGTCTCAAGTCACTCGTGAGAACACATTTTCCTGTCTACTCTCTAAAAATGTAAAGTCTGCTGTATGGTTGTGTAATACTACTATAAAGTTGCCAAAGAACTTTCTCATCGGTTATCTTGTTTGATGTTTCACAACAACCTTGTGAGATAGGGCAAGTGGCAATATAGATAACTGTTATCATTTTTTCCAGTGGAAGTAAGAATTGTGTATAAGCCCAGTAATGGGCAGTGCACGAGGGAGGCATTTCCTTTATTTATTTGTAAAGCAGGTTGACAGACAGACACACACACACACACAGACAGGTTTTCCATCAACTGATTCACTCCCTAAACGGCCACAACAGCCAGGGCTGGACCAGATGAAAGCCTGGTTCTCCCACATGAGTGTCGGAGACCCAAGTACTTGAGCCATCACCTGCTACCTCCCAGGGTCTGCATACGCTGGCAGCTGGAATCAGAGGCAGAGCAGGGACTCCAGCTCGGGCACTTTGACGTGGGATGTTGGCATCCTAAGGAGCGATTTCACCAGTGCACCAGATATTCACCCCAAGCAACTTCTTAGAAAATAAAATGTGTGCAAGTGTACATGTGAGAAAATGGAAACTCTGGTTAACATCACATAGCTAGTAACTTGCAGATCTCATTAACCAAATTTTTTTAAACAACCTTATTGAATTATAATTTATACAAAATAAAATTACATTTTAAATGTCCTGTTGTGTTTTCTTTTGTATAGACTCAGTTGTGTGTGCACCATTCCAGTGAAGCTTGGGAACATGTCCATCCCCCTAAAATTTGATTTGTGCGCTTTGCAGTCGGTCTGTATCTTCTCGTCACCTGGGGTCGTCACTGATCTGCTTTCTGTCATCATACTTTTAACCTTCCTGGAGTTTTATATAAACAAAATCATACTGTATAGAGTTTTTTTTTTTTTTAAGATTTATTTATTTTATTTGAAAGGCAGAGTTACAGAGAGGCAGAAGCAGAGAGTGAGTGAGAAAGGTCTTCATCCGCTGGTTCACTCCTCAAATGGCCACAGCAGCCAGAGCTGAGCCGATCCAAAGCCAGGAGCCAGGAGCTTCTTCTGGGTCTCCCATGTGGGTGCAGGGGCCCAAGGATTTGGGCCATCTTCTACTGCTTTCCCAGGCCATAGCAGAGTGTTGGATCAGAAGTGGAGCAGCTGGGGCTTAAACCAGCACCCATATGGGATGCCGGCACTGCAGGCAATGGCTTTACCACTCTGCTGGTCCCACTGTATAGCCTTGTATTTGGCTCATTTTCACACAGAATGATGACTTTGACTTAGCCGTGTTGTTGCATCTGTCAGTAGTTTCATTAATCCTTCCTTTCATTGCTGAATGGTGTGTGTTGTACACACCACAATTATTTACTCATTCACTAGTTGGAAGAAATTTGTGTTGTTTCCAGATAGGGGTTTTGTGAACTGTGCTGCTGTGAATAGTTTTTTTTTTTTTTTTGACAGAGTTAGACAAGTTAGACAGAGACAGAGAGAAAGGTCTTCCTTCTGTTGGTTCACCCCCCAAATGGCTGCTATGGCCGGCGCACTGCGCCAATCTGAAGCCAGGAGCCAGGTGCTTCCTCCTGGTCTCCCATGCGGGTGCAGGGCCCAAGCACTTGGGCCATCCTCCGCTGCCCTCCTGGGCCACAGCAGAGAGCTGGACTGGAAGAGGAGCGACCGGGACAGAATTCGGTGCCCCAACTGGGACTAGAACCTGGGGTGCCGGCGCCGCAGGTGGAGGATTAGCCAAGTGAGCCACGGCGCTGGCCTGCTGCGAATAGTTTTATATAGGTCTTTATGCAGATAAGTATTTTCATTTCTCTTGGTAGTTATCTTGGAATAATATTTTGGGTCATATGCTAAGTATTGTGCTTTAACTTTTTTAAAAAATTGCCAAACTTTTCTAAAAATAGTTTTACTATTTTGTATTCCCAGTAGTGTATCAGGGTTACAGTTGTTCTACAGTCTTTCCATTGCTTGATACTCTTTATCTGTTTCTTTATTGATTAAATGAATTTTTATTGTGGTGTTTAAGAAAAAAGGCTAAAATTTGCTGGTGTAACATTTTTTCATCTTGTGAGTATAGCCATTTTGAAAGGTGTAGTGGTGTCTCATGGCTTTAATTTGCATTTCCTAAGATGATGATGATAGCATCTTTTTATGTAACTCAAGTTTTAATAAAAATTTTTTTAAGGTTTTTTTTTTTTTTTTTTTTTTTTAAGAGAGAACATGCATGAGAGAGTGAGCAAGTGCTTTCATTCACTGGGTCACTTCCCAAATGACCACAGTGAAGGTGGGAGCCAGGAAGTGCAGTCTAGACCTCAAGCACGGGTGTCAGGACTCCAGCATTCCTGCACTGAGTCAGGAGCTGGAGCAAGACTGACGCCACACTGTTGAATTCAGGCCCCTTCACCACTAAGCTGAATGCCTGCCCCATAACCTAAGTTTTTAGTAGACTAAAATTTAGTTTCCGTTTGAGTATATCATGTTTTCCTTTCTAGAATCCTTTTTTGGTTTTGTTCTTGTCAGCTTAAATTGTTAAATTGGACTTGGGAGACAGCTATTATGGTGCAGTGGGGTTAAAGCCATCACTTGTGACACCACATTGGAGTTGAAGTCTTGGCTGCTCTGCTTCCAGTCCCAGCTTCCTGCTCATGGGCCCAGGAGAACCACAGATGATGGCCCTAGATGCAGTTCTGGCTACTGGCATTGGTCTGACCCAGTTCCAGTTGTTACAGGCATATGGCGAGTGAACTAGCAAGTGGAAGATCGCTCCATCTCTCCCTCTCTCTCCCTCTGCCTTTCAAATAAGCAAATCTTAAAAAAAAAAAAAAAAAAAAAGGAAAAGGCAGGCATGGGCCCAGTTAGCTATCAGTAACTAACTGTAACTCGGTCTTTTTTTTTTTTAATAAGATTTATTTATTTATATGAAAGACAGCGTTGCAGAGAGAGAGCAGGAGAGATACATCTTCTCTCTATCCACTGATCCACTTCCCAAATGGATGCAGCCACCAGAGCCGGGCTGCTCAGAAGACGGGAGTCAGGATTCCTCTAGGTCTCCCGTGTGGGGGCAGAGTCCCAAGCACATGGGCCATCCACTACTGCCTCCCCAGGCACACCAGCAAGGAACTGGATCGGAAGTTGAGGAGCTGGGACCTTAACTGGGTCCTACATGGGATGCCGACACTGCGGGCAGTGGCCTTGCCCACTACGTCACACCTTTGGCCCCTGTAGTTAGGTCTTTAGGGGCCGTGGTTCTTGAAGTAACCAATATACGAGGCCCAAGTGATGATAAATCCTACCTAGAACTCTAGAATGGGAGAGACTTGATAAAGTCTTAGGAGTGTTTCAGTTTTGTCTCATGTAGTTATCTCTGGAAAAAATAGCCTGGGACCACCTCCTTCCTATCATTCTTCATCCTGAGGACTCTTAGAGATTTGTGTGCTTGTCTTAGCAAAGCTTTTTGAGCTAGAGATGAATTTGAAGGATATTTGTACATCATTTACAGAACTGAAACAGTACTTTGTTTTCATCATTTAGAGA